TAGCCCTGAGATGACCTATGACGTAAGTGAAAAATAACTTCTCCTAGTTGCTGAACTCAGAGGCTTTTAAAAAAAAGCAGACGATGGATAAAATGTTTTCACTCATATAAAATAAAAAAAAATTCGTAAATGTTTTCTGTCTCTCCCTCTCCCGCCTTGGCTTTCGGAAATTGTCTCAAATTTTCATAAACCTGGTACCAGAGCTACTGTTTTAAGGTAGGAGACCCCTTTCGCAGTTTCCCGAATTTGTATCATTGTAACGATCATCAGCCAAATCATTGTTGTAAATATGCATTACTAAATCTTTTGCAGGCAGAATTCCCAACTTTCCCCCCTGCAATCGACGCGGTTTTTCAGTTCGCAATCAAATTATTGGTTCTGCCTGGCAAGCCAGAATCCAAAGGGTGTTAGCTGACTGTGTCAGCAAACACTCTCGTGTTTTTTTCTTTTTTCCCGTCGATTTTTCCAGAATGTCTTTGTTTTATGATGCCAAAAGAAGAGAGACCTGATTTTGTGCTTGTTTCTGCTCCGATTCGCCCTCATCACCATCCTCCTCATCATAGTCCAGCTCAGCATCCACATCTGATTCCATTGCAAAATTGTCCACGCTCTTATTCGATCCTCTATCTGCAGCAGCATTACTTTCCAGAGACGTGGGTGATCGATCCTTCTTACAGCATTATAGCTCCTGTTAAATGATTTTCTTTTTTTTGAAACTGCAAGTGAGCTCGCTAACCGTACCTAGCTCCTCTCCACTCATTTCGGAGCTGCTTGAGATATCCACGCCATCCATGGCAATGGCGGAATCGCGAAGAACACTGAAAACGACCAATTTTATCAAAAGATTGGAAGTGTAATAACTGATAAAAGTCACTGCTGAGAAAGCCACCCATCTGAAAGTGAATGCATCAACTGCTCAACATGTCGCAACACACCGCTACTGAAAATTTTCAGTAATAAAGATGACGAGGCTTATCGCCATAAAATGCAAATTATGCGATGTGATGCATTGCAAAGGCAGAGCCGCTTTGAAGTTATTCGATTTATGGATAATTTGTTTTATAAACGACTACAGGACCACCAGCAAGCTGAGCAAAATGTGATGCAGCATTGGTCAAAGAAACTGGTAAAGTTGTCCGCTGCATGGCTGGAGAAGCAGACTATGAATTCAGCAAGTACGCTACGTTCGGACAAGAGCGTCTACTGAAGAATCGATGTTCAATCAGAAGGTGATTTCTCTTATAGTATTTACAGGAAAAGTAGCAGCATGCACTGGAGGCGTAATCATGCATTTTTGTGATAAATTTTACCGAAATCTCAGCGGGTGGAGACAGCTTAAAAAACGACTGTACTCAATCACCAGCTTCATATCAGCCGTGCACGTGAAATATCAAAACTAGGCCTCCAGTATTCCTAGTCAGGAGCTATCAGCATCCTTTTGAACGTGAAATTACAGTTTAGGAGAGACATGATTACGAAAGTGATTTATGTGAATCAAATCGGAATCGATAAGCTAAAAGCTTGAAATCTCAGATTCCTTGCAGTTGTGTTTTCAGGATCATTTCTCTTTCACAAACAGAGACACACACACACATACAAATACGCACACATACAAACACACGCACACACGCATACATGCATGCAGACAGATATGACTCTACACTAATGTGCGTCTTAAAAATATGTATACGCAAAATAAATGATTTTTTGGTAATTTTTATAGCCCATCTGAGGGTGTAAATTTAAGCCATTCTCGTATCCGTGGGAGTAATGTGATTAAGAAAAGCCTGGATAATAAATATAAATATATTAAAATGTTATAAAATGAAAAATATAAATCGGCCGCGATTTCCATTAGCCAATACTTCCGCCGCCCTTATGGTCAAAAGCTTTAGCTGTTTGTAGGACGTTCCCACCAGGCATCTCTCGCCGTTTTTGACCACAGAACAGCCCTTAGATTGGGTACGACAAATCATTCGGCGAAGAGAAGGAACAAATCATGAGCTCCCTTGACAGA